AACGATGGAAGCCCAGAGACATTCCGTTCGCTTGGTTCTAGCCATTTTCCAAATATCCAGCTGGCTAGCGAGTCGTCCCAGGAAACCTACCACCCCCTACCAACCTGCTCACCCTTTTCTCTTTTCTATGGTCCTCTTCCTAGTCCGACGACTGGCTCGTCCGGCAGAACAGACGTTCCCGGAATCGTTAATTCCTCTCAATATTGCAGGATCCTTTTCGAACGCGATGTCAAGTCGCTGGGTCGTTTTAGATACAGTGCTCCTATTGTCTGCCACTCGATGCTCTCAACATTTCCACTGCTGATTTATTTTAATACCATATATTTTTATATTGCAACATAGATTTCCTTTGATTAAGAACGTAAGGGAAGTCTCCTGCCATTTGTCGTTAACTTTGGAAGAATTTAAGAGCCTCTAAATAGTATCGTCTATTTTCGGTGCAATGCAGAATTTCTTCGGGTAAAAGTAAAAGTAGAAGCTTGCAATTTTGGAGGAACCGAAAATGATCCTAATAGGATTTCAAAGAAAACTAGAACATAACCTATAAATGATCGTCGGAGATCGATTATAGTCGAAATAATTAATGGAAATTCACGAAATGCGACTCGGTTCCAGCAGCCACGAAAATGGAACATCGCCTGGGGGTACAAAATAAGGGGTTGGCAAGGTGTTACCCCCTCGACTTCTCTCGTTTCGTATTCACGTCGAGGGCCAATCAGAGACGCGTCTCTTTACACCCGCCTCCTGTTGACGTTTGTCATAATATTTTAATATTAAATCGCGTTACGGGCAGCCATGCGTTCGCATAATCAGACGTTGCTCCCTGGTCGACGTTTATATACGCGCGACTGTAAGTCTCTCCACGAGACCGGTCGCTCTCGCGTGAACAAGTCGGAGAGAACGAGATAAATAGAGAGAGGGACGAAGAATGCTACGCGAGAAGGAGGTACTCGTCACCCCTCGTCGTTCCATGTGAAATGTGGAATACAAATTACTCCGAAAAGTCCCCTTTCCCTGTCCGTTTCGTAGCACTCGTCGTACACTCGGCTGTCCCTATGAATTCGGGAATAATTCGGAATTAGGGAAACTACCGCGCCTCTTTCGACGCTGATGAACGACCGAAAGACGAGCCACGGTCTTGGTCCACTATCACCGGGTTACTTCTATATCGTTACATCATTACGGAGTTCAGGCACGTCTGTAAAATTCAACGCAGTCTTCGACGACTCTACAGATAAGAAAGTAGGGTTAACCCTTTTCAATCTACGTTTCCACGATCTACTGAAATTTCTAGAAACGAGCGGGTAATCGAATAAGCCTGGCTTCTAGGGTGAGAGATCGTAAAATTTCCAATTTCAAACGATGATTATTTATTTAGAGTTAATTGTTCGATTACACAGTTGATAACTTATTAAATTAAAAAACAAAACGACAGATATTTCGGTCTTAATAAAAAAATCAAGCAAAATATGTAGAATTTTTCTTTATTGTCCACAAATCATGTTGATCAACTGAAACTCCGTAACACCGGCGATGGAATTCGGGCAGCGTTCGACATATCTGTGTTACGATATTAAAAATCAATCGAACCCCATGCCATCGTTCAATCGAATCACGCAGAGAATCGAAACAGGAATTTTAATTAATACATACATAATAGAATATTCCTGCTGCTGCGTACAGAAGACTATATGGAAATATCGCCGCTAACAGATCTGAAAAGGGACGTTCAATATGGTATGCAAAGAAAAGCTAGAAGTTAAATCCGGTTCGGATTTGCCGAATAAACGGATCGACAGCGCAGATCACCGAATTTTTTTCCCCCCGGACAACTCTCTTTTTTGTATTTTTTTCCTGTTTCAAGTGTGACGCGGTTGTAGCCTCTTTCTCTCTCTCTTCCCGTGCGTACAGTTTGGTCAGCGCATATAAAACGACGCTGAACAAACATTCGCGACACCGTAGCGATACTTTTATCGGTTTCGAGAGAAGCAACACGGATTACCGATCGAATTTCACCGGTCCCAGGAACACCATTGGCCCCATCTCGGTCCAGCCACTTTCTCCTTCGCAGTTTTGTCGCGAAAACAAATTATCCTTCGGTGTTTTCGATGCTATTCTGGACACTTTCGATTCGGCGATGAGAATAAACAACGTTGCCACCCCGAGACAACTCGATGCCGATCCTCCGCGTCCAAATGGGGCTCGAAACATGCAGGTTTGAAACGAAATCCCGGCTGACTCATGGGAGACGCCGTGCCGCGACGTTTCGAACAGTTTCTCGACGAGTCAGATGAAGCGGAAAACGCGGGGATCCATCGAGCGGGTTCTCGAGCCGGCAAATCTAAAGTATAAAGACGGAAACCGAGGCGAACGAAAGCTCGTGTACACACGGCCGAACGCACAGTAGTTTCGGCCTGGTGGAACCGCTGGAAGGCTGAAATAAATCCAAACAGTAAACAGCTAGAAAGAGAGCGAGCGAGAGAGAGAAGCTGTCACGGGGCTCGGGTGGTTGGTGAAAATTCTAATATATAAAAGATATGAAGACCCGATGTGGCGAGACCAGACGAGACGAGAGGAGCACGTAGAACGGGGCTGAACTCGAAGGAGTCTTCGGGATTCAAATAAGTAGCGTTACCAGGACCCAGGGGGCGGGGAGGAAAGGGGTCGAAGGAATCTGAACAGCCAACAACAAGCGCGGCTCCCCGACCTTTATTTAACCTTTTCTTAAAAGAGTCTTAGGAGTCCCTCTTATCTGTAGTCGATGGCCCTTCAACGTCGGCTCTTATACTTTCATTCTTTCCGTACCCTTATATTTTTTTCCTTTGGCCCGGTCGTGTACACACGTCGAGCTTCATCGTCGTTACCCTCTGCCCCCTACCTGCACCCTTGGATACACCCCCGTTACGCGGTTCAACCACCCTCGACGTTCGTCCGCGATTTTCCAGCCCTTTCACCGCTGACACGACCGGGGCTTCATGGACGTTCAAGATTCTTCGTTTCTTCGTTACGAACGGAAAGTACAGGCTGAGCGCGGAGAGGGAGCAACAGAGACGGCTCGAACAGACGGACTCGGTATTAATTAGCGAATTAAAGGATCGCGATCTAGCCGGCACTGTGCGTCTGGCTAAAGTGGATTAAAACCTCCTGCCGATCGTTGCTTTCCATTAATTTCGCTGAGTAAACGCTTCTGTCGCTTGGTCGTATCTTTTTGGATCGCTTCTTATTGTTTTTTTCTTTCAAGGCGCTCGCTAGACCGTCGATCTCCTACGCCCAGTTTTTAACCCCTTCGTTAGTTCGTAGTGTTCAATCAAATTCCTCTTATAATTACATTCATGTAACAGAGCTCACTGTTACTTTATTACAATTATTTTTTTATACATAACAAACGGTATTTACCAAGGAAAAATTTCCTTTTTCATAGACACAAATGTATAAGTACGCTAGGTTTTCTTTGCAGCTGTATCGAACACTGCATTCAATCGATAATATTAATAATTGAAGTGCTTCGAAAGACGAACAGTTCAAACTCCGAAGAGTCGAACCTTTCCGAGACGATTCCCGCAGAAAGGAACCACTCCGGACTGTCTGTTCTGTTTTTTCACGAGGCGTTTTTTCCGTTCGCCTCGGTACGCTTCGAACTTCGGAGACGAAACGGCAGGCTCACCGGTGCTCCTGACTAAACACTGATAACGCTCGGCTACGGGACTTTCTTTGCATGCTATAAACATACGTAATCGTACACAAATAAGATTAGCATAGGACTTGCGAGCGCTCGATTCGCCAAGTGCCACGCGGGTTTTCCGGCTTGAGAAACAATCGCGACTTTCCACGAGCGAAACGAGACAACCGGGGAGAGTGGATGAAAGAGAGGACTAAGCTTGAAATTCGTTTTAAATTTATCTCTGACGAGCCTCCGCGGTTCGACGAAACTCGTGCGCACGTGGGGTCCAGGAAGGCCGACCTTCGACAGCGACGCGGTTTTTTCAAGATTCATCGTGCGTTGTCCGCTGCGTTTCGTTTACCGTGTGGCACAGGAAATAACGATTCGAAACGAGCATTCTAAATAGCTGGTGGTCAGTCGTATTTGCGATTCGAAGAATTTAAAACAAGTCCCGATCAATTTAGCAAGCTGTTTGTACCCAACAAAACGATATTAACGTCGTAACTCCAAGTGATTTAATCGATAATATATCAGACTCCAAGAAGAAGATCAAGCGGAAAGATGGACGTCGCAAAGAGATTATTTGGAACGTCGACAGGTGATCCAGAAGAAAGAAAGTAAAAGTGTTCGATAGTTTCCAAAGTTGGTTCCATCGACGAGAGTTCGAAGAGGATAAGCCGAAAGGAAGCAGGATGAACCGGTTACACGGTGTTCCGCCTTTACGCTCCGCAATCTACTCGATGATAGAACTTAATAAAACAAATCCCGCTGCGTAAACAACGAAGTAAGAGAGAGCGGAGTCGACGTAATTCAGACAACAGCGAGTTTTCCTCGGTTTTCGTTGGTACAACCGAGATTCAGCCAGCAGCCACCGATCTCGGGCTCGAATACCATTAGATAAGATCAATATTGCTCAAAACACGCTGGAAGTTTAACGCGAGCACATTACACGGCATTTATATCATGAATATTCCGCCTCGGGGGCTTCTTCTTCCCTCTTTTCGTTCTCGTTTTCCTTCTTCGTCCCTCGCGCGTCTCCTTCGCCGGGTAACCCTCTTTGTTATCTCGCGTTTGACTTTGTACAAGCTCCGGTGTCGACAAAACAGAAACTCCTTTCTCCTCTTATTAAGTAGACGCTCGAGTTCCGCGGTTTCGAATCGATTTTGTCCTCGCGCCCAAATTTCGTCATTTGTTTCGGTAAATTTTTAATCCCCGAAGGAATCTGTTAAGTAATAGTCGATCGATGATTCTCGATAGTCTGATGAATTTGTCAAGCTATCCTTGAGACAGCTCGCAACCGACTTTGATCGAGCTCTCGATCTTCATTTTCGTATTGCAGGCTACTTCGCTGTTTGCAGCCCTGAAGCAGCATCAACAACAACCTCGCGACAGTGTTTCCTCGTCGAGGGAGCGCGAGAATCGAGAACGAGATCGACTGTCGGTCCGTAACCGTGAAAACACCAGGAGCAACGAGTTAAGTGGCGGCGTAACGGAACAACAACAGCAGCAGCAACAACAGCAACAGCAGCAGCAACAACAACAGCAACAGCAACAAGACCTCACGATCGAGTACCAGAGCAATGGAAAGCTCAGTCCCGCTGGGCTCGCAGTGACAACAGCACCCATGACCCAGCAAAAGCAACCTATCATCACGCAGCAATCGCAACAGCCCAGTTCCGGGGCACCAGGTCCCCAACCGAGCCCCCATCAAAGTCCACAAGCCCCGCAGAGGGCTTCTCCACCGAATCCTTCGCAAGGTCCTCCGCCCGGAGGACCGCCAGGGGCACCACCCTCTCAGAATCCCTCGCAGATGATGCTCAATCCGGCGAGCGGCATCCATCAGATGCAACAGTTGTTGCAACAGCATATACTCAGCCCTACGCAGCTGCAGTCCTTCATGCAGCAGCACACGCTATACCTGCAGCAACAACAGCAGCAACACCATCAGGTATTATCCCATTGGTACATTAACCTCTTCAGGGACAATTATTTTCAGAAACGATTACATTTTTCTCGAGTAATTATATTTGACTACAATAGTTGTAATTTTAGTAGCAAAATCCCTGATGTCGTTGAACCGCACGAATAACATCGAACTCTGATTCGTTTTTTGCAGGACACCACCTCGGAGCATGCGTCAAATCAAGAACGATTCGGCTACTTTTCCTCCCTAAAGGACGTAAGTATTCCATTCTTCCGAATTTCATTGTGGTAACCACGGCGAGAATAGCAAAGACGGTAGAAGAATCTCGGGTTTCGTTGCTCATTCTTTCGGCTTTATTGTGCTCCGCTCTTCTTCGAGGTACATTAGCGAAGTTTGTCCTTTTTATCGAGCAAGCATTGCATCTTGGCATAGTTAAACATCTTTCGGATACTCGGCGAAGTAAACAGACCGCCTTTTATCACCCTCCGTCGACCATTTGATAATTTTAATTATAAAAAGCGTCTGTTTGATGGAGTACATTCTTCTTCTTCGTCTTCTTCTTCTGCTTCCTCTCTTTCTCGTCCTTTGGCGAACTTGTACAAACATTGAAGCATCCTTCCCGCGATAACAGGAACCGAAAGAGTCCTCGAGGCTACTGTTACGTTTCCTGTTCTCTCCATCCTCTGAAACTGTTTCAAACTATTTCATTACGTTCCACTATGAGATGATCAAATTCCATGCCATGCAACTTTTCCATTATCGAGAAATTTTCACGGAATAACACCGATTTTCAAAGCCTCTTAGAACTCGGGCATCCTACCCGCGTACCGGGAATTTCGATGCTCTGCAAACAGGACTCGGTAAAGTTCGAGGTAATTTACGATTATCGCGAATCCGAAATTATTCGCATCGAAAACGTTACATCCCTAGAATTAAAATATTTTCGTTCGTTTCTCTAAACAGCGCAAAGGATATTTTAGTGCAAATACGCGTTGAAACACGCGCTCGATGGAGGCATCAAATATTTATTTAGCGACATGGTCCGACCGTGTATTCTTCGCTCGACAAATTTAGACAGTCCATTCGAATCGATTATCGCTAACTCGCCCAAAAAGCGGTCCTAATTATCGAGAAACCGAGTCCTTAATCGTCGATGATCGCGATAAATTGTTTCCACGAGTTCGGTAGAAACAAACTCGTTAGCGTAACCGCGTTCTAGCTCGTTAATCGTGCGTTTTTTGCCGGCACTATAACTCGATAAAGGGTGTGTCTATCTTCGAGTTTGTTTTAAAATATCCTCGAGGCTTAGAGAAAAGGGGGATGGTCGCCCCGAGGACGAGCTAAGCAATTAAACATCGCCATCAGCCGTTGTGTCTCGTTGTTTGTCTTCGGGGTACCCATCAACTGCCCTCTGTTTTCTTCTTGTTTCTCCCCTGAAATTATCTGTGTCTGCGATTTATTCTGCGGCTCCAAGATGCAGCTCACCCCTCGTCTCTCCTGTTCTTCGATCCGTTCCGCAAGAATTTTCGTGCCTTTGTTTACAACGATCGATAAAATGTTCGCAGCACCAACATCAGTTCGCAGAGCTGGGTAGGAAGAAGCTGGAACAGGCGATACAGCAGTTGCAGGAGCAGTTGCAGCTGAACGTGATCCAGCAGTCTCATCTGTTGCAAACGGCCGACAAGAAGAAGGCGTCAGCGCCTCTTCAGCAATTGGCGCTCCAGCAGCAACGTTTGATCCAGCAACTTCAGATCACGCAGAGCCAGTATCTCCTTCAGCAAGGGCTGGGTCTTCAGGGACACAATCCTTCTTCGGGTACGATACACGCGATTCTCCAATATTATTACATGCAAAGTGTTCGATCTCTAAATACGTAGTTGTATTTCAAAGCTCGCGTGACGGACAACGCGTAATTTCGGCGGTAAGGTTCGAGGTAACAACGCCCCTCTGACTTAAACAACAATCCAACAACCTATCTCCCGACTCTCTGTTTCTCTCGTCTCGAGTAATTTACCCCTCCACTTTCTCATTTTCCACTTCACCCTGGGCGAAACTTTCCGCGTAGAAGTGTTTCGGTTGCGTCGGCTCTCGTCCCGGTGATGTTTTTCTTTCTGACGCGCGTACGCGGAGAAAAGAGGAAGGGTGGAATAATAGGGCAGGGGCCAGAAAAGCGACAGGGTCTCGTTGACGTACGCTTTCGGTCCTTTGGATTCGGAAATTCACGTGTGAAACAAACTTGCCCGTCGTTCTTCTTCCCTTCGGTCCTTCTTTTTTGTCGCACACTTTATCCTCTGTTTGATCTCTCTTTTTCTTTCGTTTATCATCCCTTCGTTGTTTGCACCCCCCTTCTTTGTACTTCTCGTGTTCAGTCCACTTTTTACCGGTAAATTAATCACGTACCTCCTCGTCGACGGTCAGTACGTAATTTAACGTTGTTGTCACACGGTGTAGCATTAAATTTACACAGCGATGTACAAAATCAACGAGCAGATGATTAACAACTACGAGCCTTAGGGAAACCTTTTAAACTACTTAACCGTTTAAAAGTCACGAAGCTTTGCTCCGGTAAAGGACTGCAGCTGCAAACGTTATCAATTTACATGACTAAGCTAGACAGTTTCCTAACGAATGTTCGTCAGTTTTTAACGAAAGAAAAATATGTCAAACAGGTCTGCAACCTGGTGAAGGGCTACCGATGTGGAAATCGGAGACACTGGATGGCCCTGAATCCCATCAGAACTCGAACGTCCCAAAATCTGGGGCCGGACTGAACGGTAAACACTGAAATTCTCCCTGTCAGACCAAGTCGAGTTATCCCTCTGTATTTTCACGTTGTGTATTCCGTTCCCTTTTATTTTGCGAACGCGACGTTCGTTTCCGGACTATCGCAGGACTTCTGAATTCGACAGTGTCGAGTCGGCGATCGGAGATGAACGGAACCACTCCACTGGACGAGAAACCGTTGGACGTTTCCTCGAACGACAAGGCTCATCCCCTCTACGGTCATGGGGTCTGCAAGTGGCCAGGCTGTGAAGTTATTTGTGAAGACTATCAAGCATTCCTTAAGTAAGTCTCGAATATTTTAAACTGTGTACGGGAATCAACCACCGAGTCCAAAAAATTCTAAATACATATGGGACTTTGTATTATGGCAATTATCGGTATATTAGTCGAAGAACGATATTCGAATCAGGTTCGGAAGTGTCGCGTCTTCGAAAACTAGGTAAATCCATCGGGTGGACCCGCGGTTAGGGACGAGTGAAATAAGAGAAAGAGAAGAAACGGGAAGAATAAAGTCGACAATTTCGTAAGATGGAATGAGTTAGAAGGCATCACGGTTGGCGAGGGTAGCGTAGAAAAATCGCTGAAGTCAGCGTATCTCATTGACATCCGGCACCTTCTCCATCGGTTTCAAACCACCAGGGCAGACCCCCTTTCGCTCGGCAATCCCTAGTAATCACGCGGCTCGTCGCCGCAAACTCCCTCAAACAAGCCGTTACTTAAAAAAGGAGAGAGGAAGGGTGGGAGCGAGAGAGAAAAAAAGGAAAACGCTAATTACCTTTGTCTCATTAATATTCACGACATTCGACCGCATCGTTATGCCTCTCGGTCTAATCCCTTTCCCTTGTCCCCGTGCACCTCCGCCCACCTTCCTTCCGCTAGACCTTCCCGTATTCTTGGTCTTAACCAACCTTCTCCCTCCTTTTTGCTTTCTTCACCCTCTTCCACCCTGCACGATACAGCGCCGGCGACGAAGAAGGATTACGGAAATTCTTAAATACGGAATCTCGTTGGCACACCCTCTCCGCTTGAAACCCACCACCGTGTCGGAACTCGATTCTTTTGCTGTCCCGTAGCTGGGGTAAGATTCACCTTGGGGGTAGGAGGAGGCCCAGGGAGAACCGTTTTATTCTTTGTGATGCGGTGCAGCTTTGATTTCCTCGTAAACGACCCGACATTGTTCGCGACATAATTTCGTTAGTATCTTGGGATCAGAGGGATTCGGTGGATTGTTCCCGTGCCACTTTTTACGGATTGAACAGCAGCGATTCAAACGTTCGTTCCAGACATTTAAACACGGAACACACGTTGGATGACCGATCGACGGCGCAAGCCAGAGTTCAGATGCAAGTGGTCTCGCAGCTGGAGATTCAGTTGCAGAAGGAACGGGACCGGTTAACCGCCATGATGCACCATCTGCACATGGCGAAACAAATGGCTTCCCCCGAACCACCAAAGTCGTCCGAGTCATCGGTAAGTTTGCGCTTTATGACCTTCGATTATCGTACGATACATCTCGCAACAAAGTAGTACATATAGTACCTATGTTCTTAATGAAATGACTGATCCCTAGTAACCGTGATCGATAATACGATCGAAAGACGAGTGACTCGAAACTTTCACAATACTGTACGCGCATTACGTGCTGAACGTTCAAAGTGTAAATTGCTCTTGTTGCGCAAGTCGTTCGTGGAAAACAATATGTTGCCGTAAAACCGTGGTGCATTACCATGCGCGAAATATGGTGGACAATAATCGTAGGGTGACACACGTGGCGTGGTTTGTCGTTCAGCGAACATCGTCCAGGGCGGGAATCCGGAAAAACGATCCTAACGATCGTGTTCGCGATGTAAACTCTTCTGGCACGGTCAGAACGGAGAGTCGTAAAGTCGGATTTTCACGGCGTCGGGGAATTTTACGAGTCCCCGCTGTGGCTAACAACAACGCCAGTTTCAGTTTTAACGCGCCGCCGAGTAGACTCGCTAATTTATACATAAAGTTTGCATTAATAATTCATCGGGTCCTCGTTGATTTTATATCGCCTTAATTAAAACCTCTAACAAGTCCGACAGTCGGAGAATACCAATATCGCATTAGCCGTCCGGGCGACCGCGTGGCTCGTCCTCTCTGGCCGACTTAATTATTTTAACGCGAAAGGGAGGAGTCCTGTCGCGAAACTCGGATCAACTCTGATATCGAGAACGTTCCGATTAAATATATCCGTCGATGTTCGTTCGCGGTTTCCTCGTTAATTGAAACTTTACTAAACGTTTCGTGTAATTTAACATCGCGATTAAAAAACGGAATTCTCACCGCGATGGTCAACATATGTACGTTTCAAAATCGGCTGTTTGATATGCAACTTAAGAGAATTTGTTCGAACTTGAAACGGTACTCGCGAAACGTGCAAACAATCCTAAACATCGGACGGTACACGATAAAAAAAAAAACATGAGGAATTTCGCAAACTGGTCTGCGTAGTTTGCACAAGAAAAAGAAGGTCGACAGACTCGGTACCGTACAAGTAATGCCCGAAGGCGTTTCGCCCAAACATCGCGTCGCTCCTTTCAGACGGGCTCGAGTATACCAAAGTTAAATCTCTCCACCGCCCTGATGAGCCAACCACCTCCAAACTTCGGTGTCTCCCAAGTGTCTCCTGTCTCGATGTCCGCCCTGGTCTCGGCTGTGAGGTCGCCAGCAGGTAGCCAACAGCAACCATCCGGTGGAGCACCCATGCCACCCATTCCTAACATGTCGAACATGTCTGGACTGCCTCCGTTTTCGAACATGCCAGGCAGTATGCAGAGCATGGCAGGACCCGTTAGGCGACGTATCAGCGACAAATTATCGCTGGCAGGAGGTAAGCTTCTTTCCTTATCCACGTTTCTTCGAGATAGTCTGTCTTCCGTGCGATTATGTTACGTCGAAGATCGATCAGGAATATCGAGAATAACGTGTTTGACATTGTTGATGATTCTTCCGTTTTACCTGCACCAAGGATAATACGATTAGTAACGCGATTTTATTCTCACTCGAAACTTTTAAACTGTTTTATCAACGTTTTATGTGATTAGTCGAAGTAAGGGTGAAATGGTTAGTGTTGTGTCGTCTCGAGGAAGGTGAAACGAAAGACATGTGAATTTAGAAATTGAATACTATTCGTAGGACTGTATGACGAGGGCACTGTAAGGCGCAGAGTAGCCGTCGATAGATCTGGAATAGATATTAACGAAGGTAACGATTAATCAAAAATTCCGGTCGGGTGGACGCGCGATCCGTGAAATGCTATTTTCTTCGAAACGTTTATTTGCGACCAACTGTCGTTCTATGTTCGTATTCATAATTTCACCGGAGAACAGGTGAATTTATGCTTAGTTTTTCAAAAGAGCATTTCGCGGTTCGCTCACGTTGATTGCGCCCCGACTACAAGAAAATCCTGTAGCAAATGCTCTTTACGGTCCTCTCTTGATCTCGTGCCTTTTTTTCCTATCGTAAACTTTGCCACACGCACAGATTTATTCACGGTAGCAACAATGTCACGTGAGCTACAGTGTTCGACACCTTGTTGGCGACGAATTAAACAGGTGTAGAGAGCGGAGGAAGGTAGAAAAGAATACACAGTAGTAAAGAAAAGAGACGAACGAATTAAAACGAACGAAAGAATGATAAGAAAAATGATGAATTTGTTAAGAAAAATGATATACTACGCCAGTTCGAACCTCTTTCTTACCGATACTTCTGTTGTTTCCTCATTTCTTGTGCTGCCCGCCCTCCCCACCGTGTAGGGCTGCCCTACATGCTGGAGCGTGCTGGCCTTGACGTCCAACAAGGTACTGTCAACCTTCTTTCCACGCTCCTTTGGTGGCTTTAAGGATTTTCTTAAAGGGTGCACCCTTGCATGCTGAAATACTCTACTTCTTTCACCCTGCCTCCAGTTCCGTAGTATAGCGTTTCAGATACTTCCGTCATCGCTATGACGAGGGACGAACAAAACTGGAACAAAGTCCACGCTTCTGTCTTTCCCATTCGATCCCCTCTAAATCGCTTTTCGCTTAATCTTTCGTCTAGTTTTAAGGTTGTCCTCCATAATTTGTTTCCCGAGCATGCGATCCGCAAAGGCATACCCGTTTTCTATGAATTATTATACCGATCATCGCGAGTCATTTGTTCGATGGAAATCTAGTTTTTGTAACGCGGTTTCGGCGGGAAAAATCGATTACACGGAACTCGCAAATTGTTTTAAAATACATATTTGTTCTCCCGATAGTTTTTTTTCAACTTTCGTTTTTTCCGCGAAAGTGCTCCGCGAATCGAACCATCTCTAAATAAATGGGGCTTTATCGATCACACTCGCGGAATGTGTTGCTTGTTTGTTGTAAAAATCCCCGCAATCAACCCGAATCGTGCTAAGAGATGGTGCCGCAAATAATACAAAAAGTATCCTTTCCTCTCGAATCTCTGTTCTTTGGGAAACAAACAAAACGTGATTTCTTGGCATTTCAGAAATTCAACGAAATAGGGAATTTTACAAGAACGCCGACATCAGACCGCCGTTCACGTATGCATCCTTAATCCGACAGGTGAGTGATCCATTCGATACGTAGACTGTACCTTTAGTATTCTGAATTATTCAAACGAGAATGAATTGTCCGATCAGAGCGTCACGTTTAATCGATATTTAATCTTAGAAGAACTAATCCCGGAAAACGAGCGAGGGTTTACCGATCATCGATCGTTGCGCGTAACAACGAATGCTTATACCATTATCATAATTTTTTTTAAATTGACACATTTTGTTATTAAATTATTAAACATCAATAATGAACGTCAGTATTGAATATCGTGCAGGCATTTAGAAATATTTAAAATACAACAGCGAGAGTTTACGTTTGGAAATTAATTATTGATGTCAGTAGTTTCAAGATGTCTGACCATGTATATCCGCATCTACTGCGCCGTTCGATTCGTTCATCGCAACCGTAGACACATGGGTAAACATTTATTCTTTCGTTTTGTTTTTTCTTTCTGTTCCGCAGTCCATCATTGAGTCACCGGAGAAGCAACTGACGCTGAACGAGATCTACAATTGGTTCCAGAACACATTCTGCTACTTCCGGCGTAACGCAGCAACGTGGAAGGTATATCTCTTCACATTCAGTAAAGATACGAAACGTTATAGCATCGCTAGAGGTGATGATTCGAAGAAAGTAAAAACGACACAGTGTTCTAGCTTGTACGTTGTTCGTTTTCAAAGAGCTTCGCTGAACAAAAAGACCGCGCCTTTTTGTTTCCATTTTCATCGACACGTTCGACGTCATTTCCGCGAACGATCGCGCGAGGATATTCTTCTTCGAGAAAACACGTCGACATAAATTTGAATCTGTAGGAATCGCGTGTTAGCAAAAAGTTGTTCACGGTAATCGTGTGCATCATGTAGGAAGTCGAAAATAATTTCTCGTCACTGAATTGGATGAACTCAGAACGCGGTTTCGAGTTATGCAACGTTTGATTGCAAGTCACAAAGACGAGATGACTTGGTCGTGCAATTTGCATTTACGAGCAGATTAAGCTGAATGCGTTTTAACTAGAAAGGATGAGCTTTCAAGAATCTCGGATAATCTTACGTATTAATTTGAATTAACAGGCTAAAGTGACGCGCCGAGCAGACGAGCTGGTAATGATAATTGTGTTGCTTCCCCGTTTAAAGAAAGGGGGAAGGGGGTGGGGGGATGAATCTTGGTAACATGTGAAATATAACGTCGCATTACGACTCGCGTATCTTGCCACAGTTTCAAACTTCTTTCTCAAAGTAAATGGCCTTCTCCAGCCAGCAAGATTGTAATTAACCACCCCTATTTTCTTAAACTCGAAACGAATTTTGATCGCGAGATCGTGATGCGACTTTAACGATCCGCTTGTTGGCAAGAGTGCGATGCGCAAGTGTTTTCTCTGCGTGTGTGTGTGCGTGTAAGGCGTGAAAGTAATCGACGTTTGCCATGACGCTTCGCCTCGCATGGTTTATGTGTATCTGAAAGATTTTCAAGCAAAAACACAGGTTCGCCGGACACGACGAAAGGAGAAGCAGCCGTGCACCGAAGGAGAGGACGAGGTTACCACGCGTGGACGGAGGTCGTGATCGACGAGAACGACCCCCGCGTACAATACAATCTTCCTGAATCTTTCTTTTTCCTTTTTTTTTTTCTTTATTTTGATTTTGTTCCTGTTCTTTTGGAATTTTGTACGGCCCTGCGGCATGTATAATTGTTGTCGTTGCCCCTAGACTTAGATGACTATCTGTGCATTAACGATTAAAGGAATGCCACATACCGTGTATTCTTTCGAATAATCGTTTTGGTTCGTTATTGTCCTCTTGCGGCCTTGTCATTTTTACGCGACCATCAGCCGGGCATCCTTTTTGCTGCTCTCACATCGTATACTACTATTAATTCACTCTTTATCAATCGTTGGTATGCTTTGAGTTTTCTTGTTCTATTTCGAGCGGCTCGTTTCGAATCGAGGATGATTAAATGGAACTGCTACCTTCATTCTCTTGTTATGAAAGATCTCGAAAACGCATGTTGTAGGAATGCAAATTTGTAGCAATGTCCCTTGATAAATGATGCAATAATTATTCATATTCAAGAGACAAGACGGAAGTTGCAATTGCAGGAGTTAAGTCGGTTCGACTATAAACGCTTCTAACAATATATCAGGCAGCAGTTCTCTAATTGAATCTCATTCGTAACAGAGACATAAGATGTGTTGGGCCGTTTAAAAAATTGGTAGCGTACTTTAATGAAACGATTTCCTAGATTCGAAAGAGTCCCAAGTTTTAGACGATCGAGGCATTAATACTCACGTGTGCTAGCAATTTTCTGAACAACCCAATAGCTTGAACGAAGAACAAGACACGAAAGCTCGAAATCTACTTGACCCTCGACGATTGTCCAAGGGCAAAACATGGTGCACTCTCGTTTTATCATCGACTTCTTATCATCATCATCATCATCATCATTATCGTCGTCGTCGTCATCGTCGTCGTGGTGGTCTTCGTCATCGTCATTCGACGTCGGAAGATGACGAGCAGCCTGTAAAACGGTCCATCGAATCGTGTCCCCGATCGACAGCCGGCCTCGCGATTGAGTTGGCTTCGTTCGTTTTTTGCGTTGCTTATTTAGTCTGTGTATTATTTTGTATAGAACGCAGTGCGACACAACCTGTCTCTCCACAAATGTTTCATGCGAGTCGAAAACGTGAAAGGCGCCGTATGGACGGTGGACGAAGTGGAGTTTTACAAGAGACGTCCTCAACGCGCTTGCAGCACGACCGGGTACGTTACCCCCGTCCCACCGACAAAATAAAAATTTTACAGCCGCGTTTTTTTACTCTTTATTCCCCTCTATTATAGATCTACATCTCACTATTTCTCTTTATAAATATATATACATATATATATTTTAGATGATATATATATTCTATCTTTTTCTCCGCTTTTTTCTCGATATTTATTATATATGATCATCCCTGGCCCCAACGTCAGACCACCAACCCGAAATTAAAATCGGCTTCGGTCGCTTTCCCTTTTTCTCTTCTCTAACCTCATCTATCCGCCAACGTGATCCTCTTGTATTTATTTTTTACGTTTCTATATATTTCTTCTCTCTCTATCTATGTGTCTTTTACATATTTATCAATATTTATATATATATGTGTTTATATACATACTTTCACTTAATCGCTTTTACTCTATAATTACATACTCGTACCCTCGAACCTCGTTCCCATTCATACTGGCAGATTTTTTACAATCTTTTTATCTTTTATATATATATATATTAATATACGTCTTTTTATAAATATATATATACATTATATTATTCATATTTATATGTATATATTTAATATTTAATAGTGTTTAATATTTTTATATCTTTTTATACGTATACATTTATATATAGCTTTTTTCTATATATGTATATAGCTGTTTATATATATACATATTTGATTAAGGATTTAACACGTGTATGCGCGCGTAACGCGTGTGTGTGTGCAAGCCTCGTATGTATGTATACGCACATACACGCACGATCTTATTGTGCATTATCCATCTCTCTGTACGATGTGTTTTTCGATACCCTATATATACATCGTGCCTTTGTCCCTTTTCTTCTGTTTGTTCCCTTTTTTTTGTGCGTATCTAGTACATCTCTAGTCCCTTCGTGTACGTTTACGCATTCGTACGTGTAGATTTGTGCGCGTGCGTGTACAAACTATTCCTATTCTTTTTTTTCCACCTCTCTGTTCGCAATATTAATCTGTATAGTAAAATCGCTTGCGTCGTTCGTCTGTACTTACGTCTGTTTGCTAACACCGAGCTTCCCGAGCTATGATTCTTTGAAATTACTCTACAACCAGCGAGTCGCAGCTTATTTGACTTGCAGTAGTCTCCCGTTATATCGCCATAGACGACAGACGTTGTTCTCGCAACTGATACTATGTCGAGTCGAGGTAAACGTTTCCTTCTTTGATACCGCGAAGGTCCGAGGGAATATCTGTAAAATACGTGGGAATACAACGCGCGATAACTGCAATGCGTGGCGGTTACAACACCTGACGATTACAACGCGTGGCAATTACGAAGCGTAGAGGTTACAACTGCGATTGCGAACCGTGGTAATTACAATCCGTGACGATGCAACGCGTTACAGTGCGTTGCAATTACAAGGTGGTTATGCAACGCATTGTGATTCAATACAACGTTCATCGGAGGATTCGGTGGTTAATTCCGTGCTCCTACGATAGCGATATAACGAGGGTCTACTCTGTTTAGAAGCAGAAAATCGCTAGCTTGCATCATTACTTTCGCTGAAGGATCCATTGAACGAGTCGAATTGTCGAGTTATACCCGGGAAGCTGGCTTCGTGCCGTGTTTGTGACATATCCCGCGCGAGTGTGACTTTTCTTACTTGCCCGTATCTTGCGTGCGATGGTAGCCGTCAAAGTCTGATGAGTGAAAGTGCTTGAATGCGTGTCGAGAAAATGATGATATTCGACGATGAGGATTGAACAGGCGCGAATGAATGCTAGAGGGAGCCGAGATTGGTGGGTTGTGGACGGAATACCGTAGGATACCGTGGTGTGTGCTTTTATTCTTTTTTAACAAGCATGTGAGCTTTGCAGCGACTAACCAATCGAGAATCACTTGGCAGGGCCCGAGTCTAGTCTCGAATACCCGGGAGCCGGATGCGGGATACAGCCAGTGCAAAGTGAGAACCGCAGAATTGCACTTGGTCAGGTAGTGAGAGGAACTATATGAGCCTTACTACGTACATATATACTACTTTTACGTTTGTCTACTTTTTTTTATTCTCTCTCTGTACCCTTTCTTTGCGAGTCTGTGCTGTCTTTGTTACAATTCTCTGGTACGTCGGGATTCCTCCATGAAACTTAGGAGAGGACGATGGACGAGACTTTAGTAGGATACGTAGGGGATGGGGCCGTTGACGACGCGCGTCTCGTCGTGATTTCCGGTGAACATAAGTCAGCTATTCACCACGTGCATGAGTTATTCGAGCGCCACCACTCGGCGCGAGTCGTGGCGCTCGAGAGGACAACGTTTGTTAGACGCTTTACAAAAAAAAAAAAAAAAAAAAAAAAAAAAAAAAAAAAAAAAAAAAAAAAAAAAAAAAAAAAAAAAAAAAAAAAAAAAAAAAAAAAAAAAAAAAAAAAAAAAAAAAAAAAAAAAAAAAAAAAAAAAAAAAAAAAAAAAAAAAAAAAAAAAAAAAAAAAAAAAAAAAAAAAAAAAAAAAAAAAAAAAAAAAAAAAAAAAAAAAAAAAAAAAAAAAAAAAAAAAAAAAAAAAAAAAAAAAAAAAAAAAAAAAAAAAAAAAAAAAAAAAAAAAAAAAAAAAAAAAAAAAAAAAAAAAAAAAAAAAAAAAAAAAAAAAAAAAAAAAAAAAAAAAAAAAAAAAAAAAAAAAAAAAAAAAAAAAAAAAAAAAAAAAAAAAAAAAAAAAAAAAAAAAAAAAAAAAAAAAAAAAAAAAAAAAAAAAAAAAAAAAAAAAAAAAAAAAAAAAAAAAAAAAAAAAAAAAAAAAAAAAAAAAAAAAAAAAAAAAAAAAAAAAAAAAAAAAAAAAAAAAAAAAAAAAAAAAAAAAAAAAAAAAAAAAAAAAAAAAAAAAAAAAAAAAAAAAAAAAAAAAAAAAAAAAAAAAAAAAAAAAAAAAAAAAAAAAAAAAAAAAAAAAAAAAAAAAAAAAAAAAAAAAAAAAAAAAAAAAAAAAAAAAAAAAAAAAAAAAAAAAAAAAAAAAAAAAAAAAAAAAAAAAAAAAAAAAAAAAAAAAAAAAAAAAAAAAAAAAAAAAAAAAAAAAAAAAAAAAAAAAAAAAAAAAAAAAAAAAAAAAAAAAAAAAAAAAAAAAAAAAAAAAAAAAAAAAAAAAAAAAAAAAAAAAAAAAAAAAAAAAAAAAAAAAAAAAAAAAAAAAAAAAAAAAAAAAAAAAAAAAAAAAAAAAAAAAAAAAAAAAAAAAAAAAAAAAAAAAAAAAAAAAAAAAAAAAAAAAAAAAAAAAAAAAAAAAAAAAAAAAAAAAAAAAAAAAAAAAAAAAAAAAAAAAAAAAAAAAAAAAAAAAAAAAAAAAAAAAAAAAAAAAAAAAAAAAAAAAAAAAAAGACGCTTTACAAAAAAAAAAAAAAAAAAACACAAAAAAACCGAGGCTGAACAGAGAACGGTGCTGGTTTAGTGCTCCGGCAGAAAGCTAAACAAACGAAAGTGTGAATTGCTGTATAGACAAGAAAAGCGAACAAACGAAAAGACGAAAAGAACTATGAAAGAAAGCGAAAGAATTCTACTACAACAGCAGTCGACGACGACAACAACAACAAGCAGAAACAACCTTTATCTGTTTTACTCTCTTTTTCTCTATTTCTTGGTGGTCTTGTCTGTGTATACAGAACGCGATCCGCACCAATCTATCATTGCACAAGTGTTTTGTGCGCTATGAGGACGACTTCGGGTCATTCTGGATGGTGGACGACGCCGAGTTCGTAAAGCGGCGGCATCTGTCCCGCGGCCGCCCCAGGAAATATGACCCAACCCCATCACCCACTCCACCCCACCTCTCCGCACAGTAAGCACTACCACTTTTTAGAATTCTGCTGGCTGGCTGGCGCGACGTTTCTGAAACCTTACCGCGGTATCTCTTGTAACACGGCGACCGGGACACTTTTGCTTGGTCGTTGTCTACAAAAGTGAACCACTAAACCGCCCTCTCGTACCTGCTGCCTTTGTCGTTCAATCGCAAAACGATTCAAAAAAAAAAAGATCATAAATCATATGGTGCGAACATTTTCTCCTTCTTCTCTCTGTCGTTGTTCATAAACACAGCGGTTCGTTCTTTATCGTTAGTCACTGTACGTTTTATCTACGTTCTCCTTCGTTTCTGCCTCTACTTATTAGATATTTATCGGACGTTCTACGTTGTAGTCGAGTGGTAATTCGTTGGAAAATGACTTCCAAGGCAGCAGGGAGTGGCTCTAAGCAGTTTATCCAACCCCCGGAAACGAATTCCGCATTGTGCCTGCCTCGAACACCCTTAGTACCCGTCTCCTTGCGAACAAGAACAAAGTAACATCCGTCAAACTTCTTCCTCTTCCTCAGGGGTGCGCAATACATTTTGCGAATGCTTCGATATCTAGTTTATTTGTTGACACGTTCGCTGTGGTACCACCCTTAGTATCAAACGTTAACCCTTGTACGATCAAGATTAAATAGTAAACTTACTCAGTTCATACCGCTAAATTAATTCTGAATACATTTCAAAGAACTATGAATATCTCTTTTTAAATTTATCTCAAAAATTATGTACAACCTTATAATCTGGGTGTCTTTAAGGACAGTTACCATAGCAAACGTGCTACGAATGAACGTCATAATTAAAAAGAAACCGTTGCTAGACTTTGTACGATTCATACTCGAGTTAACTCGTCCAGATTAATGTAGCAGTTAAACGGTGGGATATTTTGCGCACCTCTGTTTGTGACGTCCAAAACAGCCCCATAGTACATCCCTATGTATACGTCTCACTAGTACCGTAGCCCGAGGCTCTAGCACACCCGAGAGAGCTTAAATCCTGGACGATCCTGCAGGAGCCCAGCCACAGGACGATTGGTCCGTGCTGCAGGATCTCTGATGTGTTTAGTGGTTGCTCGCATGGATAATCAAGGATCCTATAATATTCGTTCCCTAAGAACTAAGACCAAAAAAAAAAACAACGAAAAAATGATAATAATGAGATATGAAAACTGTCCCCCGTAAGACTTATCCCTACCACTGAAAAACACTGTGCTTATAATTGTATGGTGCTTACGTAGTGGCGTTTGCAGTGTCTTGAAAGAATGTGGAAGTGTTTGCGTGGACAAACGTTTCGTTGGCCTTCTTCTTTCGCCTTTTTTCTTTTTCGCGAACTCCGTTTCACTGTACCAGGCTGGTTTTCAAAGAAAGAAAAACATTTTGTTTCTTTTAATTTTGTTCGTTCGCGACACGTGCGCGAACGAAGCGTTTGTCGTCTATCTCTCTTTCTTGGGTTTCTTTCATCTTTCTTATTTTTCGTTTCGCTGTTACGAGCGGCAAGTTGTGTAGCTTACGTTTAGTAATTAGAAAGTGCAAATAAGTTGATGCTGGCTGTGTAGAAGAAGGATGATGCTTGGGACTGTCAGATTTTGAGCAGTCGAACTATTCGGTTCATTCAAATATTTCAGTATTCAAAGTAAAATGTAATAGTTCGACTGTTCGAAATTCTATCGGTACTCGAATACTCTGAATATTCGGATTTTCGCAGCAGTCCTACCGATGCTTCTGCGTTTTCTTTCTCTTTCATTTTTTTCCGGTGTGTTCAATCGAGAGAAAACGTTGTATCGAGGTATGCGTTCCGTTATTTTTTCATTTTTCTTTCTCTCTCTTCTGTTCGCCTTTAGTACGCTTTTTCAACGTGAGAATGGTTTTCCGTGTGACTGATAATGCGTGTCAGGGCTACTCGCGCATGTGTAAATTGTGTAAATTAAGCGTCACAAAACTGCAAAATCTCGGATGATACGGAATTCTCCATTCATCGCTACGACCACTCTCTTCTAACTCAAGGTACCTCACCGTTTACGTACTAACTTTGCAACTTCCGGTAACTTTTCTGTACCTTTTATGATTAATCATCTTTTTTAAAAGTTTTTTAACAATTTTTCTACTTTTTATACTCTAATTACACTCTTTCTCTTTTTATCTCTCTCTCTCTCTTTCTCTCTCTCTCTCCTGTCTCTCTATCTTTCTCGCTATCTCTTCTCCAACTTTTCTATCTATATTTCTCTCTTTTACCCACAGCGCTCTGAGTCACTTGATAAACGGCCTCTAGGCATCCATCTTTTTTTCTCTTAAATTTTTCTCTTCGCATGCAAGTAATCGTCTCTTGCAAAGAATTCGTTCGCGACATCCCTGTCTCCGTTTCGATTCGAAAAAGCGATATTCTCTTTTTTCGAGACAGCTTTCAGACGCGTCCCTTGCGCTTCGTTGTTTGCAAGAGAAGAAACGTGCTCTTTTCTCTTGACACTTGTCTTTTGAAGGGAGCACACCTCACGGTCGGCATTCAGTACCGAAAAACCTTGTAAATAATTACCGAGGAAAACGTAAAAGGGGTAAGCACAGGTAAGCCTCAGAGCCGTTTATAAGCAATGACGTCGTTTCGACAAATGAACATCGAAGAAATATTTTTCCAACGATTTTAAAATTTTGAAAGAACGATTCACGAAACGAGAGCGCTTTTTTGAAATTTTTCTATATATATATACATACATACACACACTTTTTTTACTTAACCTCGCTCAATCCGAACCGAGCCGATCAGTTGGACGAGTGAGAAGCGTAAACTGGTAAATAGGTAAGAGTTTTCGAACTCTTTTTTTTCTAATCTTTTTTATCACTTTATCAATCTATTATATACGTGTATACATTTTTTCATATTATATTTCTATCTCTTTGTATCTCTCTGTCTCTCTCTATCTATCTATTTCATCTCTTTCTCTCTTTCTCTCTTTCTCTTTCTCTATCTATTATACCTTTACATATTAAAACTCGATCACACCTGCACACACTGTACACAAAATCTCTATCTGTACCCGTCTCCTCTCTCACCCGCCCCGAACCTGAAATCATTAATTCTCGAATATTTATTCCACCCGTATACATCGACACAAACTAAAAGAAAATATAAACGAAAGCTTATCACACGCGTTTATTTTCAGGAAACTAACGTTAGCCGAACTACGATGATCACTAATGAAATCTTTTCTCTCGATATGTAGGGGTGTCCCGTCGAAGAGTCCAACCTTGACCCATAGTCCAACCATGTACGGTGACGCGTTAAACGCCAATATCCAGGTAACTGTTTAGACACGATGCACTTTCCTTCGTTATAGGGAGATAAATATTCGATCGTTTGTGACAATATATCGAGTCAATGTATTGATATCACGGTCTCTGAGCGATTCATGTGGAGCCATGGAACACCGTCATATCATCGGAGAATATTCTCTCTCTAGGTTCTTATTTTACCATGATTATTTCAATGGTTATTAACGTGTCTTTCGTAGTCTCCGAACGCTAGGTGTTGGTAACGAATATAGGCGACTAATGATCTAATGCAATTTGAGTATTTCCAGGCGACACTCGGAGACTCGAATATGGGATTTCTCAGCAACTCGATGTGCACGTCGATGACAACGAGTCCCGACAAGGAGCACGTGTTAGCCCACAACGATTTAATGTGAGTCACAGCTATGCGAAGTAAAAGAATCGTCTCGAAGACACGTTCGAATCTCCAAAGTATTCTCTGCGAATGCACATTGTTTTTCCTTGTGACAGGTCGCCGTTGGATGAACCAGCCGTGCACATAAAACAGGAGGGCCAAAGTCCGGAGGGGGGTAAACTCACGAGATTAATAAAACGAGAGCTGGTCGACGCACCGGCGGAGCAAGAGGGCGAAGAAGATCAGGTGGACGAGAGGGAGTATCCCGAAAGCCACGGACACGATTCCGGCCAGGACGAAGACGTGGCCGAAGACCTGTCGATGGCACCCGACATAATGACCCCCGAAGATCAGATCGAGGCGTAGTATCGTTCCTCGAGAAACGATTAGGTTCGAGCTGTCGCGTTGAAGTCCGGTCGTGTAAGAAGAAGCTACCTGTTCCTCGTCGGTGGAGAACCAGGACCAGGAAGCGTAAAGTGGTGAAAAATGAAAAAGCGAAATAAAACGAAGACGCGAAGAGGACGATGAAGGCCCCTAGGACCAGCCGCTCCTTCGTAAGAGACCCCCCTCACCCCTCACTCATCATATCCGAAGCCGTGATACGTTCGAAGCGGCTTTAAAAGGTAAAGACAAGAGGAATAGAAGCGAACAGAGGCACTGAACGTACGCTGTGCGTGATCGATCACGACGAACAAATCGACCCGAATCGATCGTCGCGATCCTTCGATCCATATCCTTACTCAAGCAATCGCGAACAACGATGTATTTTCTGTTCTTCTTCCATTTCGTTTCGGAACCGCGGTTATATCTCTATATACATGTATACATAAGTATATACATATACATATATCTCTAACACCCTCTCTCACACTCTCTTTCTCTCTTTCTCTTTCGTGTACATTGCATTAGCGAGTAAATGAAGAAGGGAAACCAATCGCATCCGCTGTAGTTCGTGACGTTTCGACGAACGGGTCACCCTTCAAGAGCAAAGGGGAAAAGAGAACCTTCAGCCTGATCTTCGTGACTCGTTTCGGCTTCCGGCATCGTGGATACTCGCGCGTGTACGACCGCCTCTTTCGAGTGAATGCGCGTTCCGCGTGCTACGCTGATCGCGACTCCCATTTCTGGACCAATTTCAATCAAGAAAATTACCATTATTCGAAACGTTTCGTTTTTCACTTTAGAATTTGATTCGATATTTTGATCGCCACGAAAAATGGCAGCGCATGATCACCATAGATTAGAATCGCAATTGCTCGAAGTACGAAAGTTTAAAATTTTTGCTTTTAGCGTAAATGAATTTGGCAATTAGCGTAAAGAGTTGATTTATCGCGATTCAAGGTACAATCAAAGTCGAACGATAAATACGAATCGCGATTAGAAGAGCACGCGGAACACTCGCCTGAGGATATTAGTAAGAGCGGTGAGGGTGAATAGGAATGGTTGGAAAATTAAATTTAAGATAAAATTGCGAAGCTGCGACGGTGGCGACGGGTACGCGCGGGAACGACTGACCCTTTTTAGTCTTAAATGTATATCGTTCGTGGTAATTAGGATATCGTGAGGATCAAAATCTCTCGTGATGTAAAAGGATACCGGGGACTCCTTTCGAAAGGAGCCTCGTTCTCTAATATCAGACACTTAAGGTTAAGGAAGCGTTCGCGTACGAGGCACGAGCGCAATCCCGACGTGCCCGGCCGTTGCTCTCTTGCTAATTACTGTATAGTTTAGGAGAAATTAATTAAGTAAGTAGTTTCGTAACGATCGACGATCATAAACGTCGACGATTCCGCGAGGAAGAACGTACACGCGCGCGTATCCTTGCAGTTTTCGATCGCGATTACTTTCGAGCTCGTTCACGAATTACGGAATAAAGGATGGAGAAAGGAAAAGAACGCGATGAAGGGAGTTCGAAACGAGAAAGAAACAAAACACAAGAAGCGGATGCCACGAAAGCACTTATAAATAAATTCAATTACTATGTATGCATATACATATACATATATTAATACGTATACGTATCGGAAATTATAAGAAAATTAGATATCGATGACCCAACCCCTGTTCACCATTTTCCCTCCAAATTCTAAAACAACCATCGCTCTCCAACTTTCCGCTCCTAGTCCTGTGTAATCAAGCTCGGTTCCGAATTGAAAGAAAGGCAATACGACTGGATAGAATCGTCGCGTCCGAAAATGTACGAGGGGTCGTTACTCGTCGGTCTTCGAACCCCTGAAACACGTCGAGTTTAGGTCGAAAGCGTGCTCAGGTCGGTATGGGAGAATTTTTTTTGGAGATCTCTCGCGGTCAGAGATCACCACGAATAAATCGATTTCGTTTCGATGATCGTCGACGGCCACCGAGGATTTGTGAATCGTGCTGTTCGAATCGCGTTAAACAGCGACCGGAACACGATCGCGTGTGATATATTTCCGTTCGAGAGCCGTAGCCACGCGGAGGATACCGTTTGTTTGTAATATTTTTGTAAATTGAATTCGTTCTCGAGGACGTTAGAGACGTGTGCTCGCTCGTGTAGATAGCTTTTAGGATCGGGCCTTCTCCCCTTAATTGCCAGGGTAATTATTAATCGACGACGAGAATACTTCCGTCGTGTCGGTGACGCGAAACGTGTTAGACATGAATCATCTATCGTGATCGGTTAAATCGAGACAAGACACATCGATCGAAGTTTCTCGCGTCTTGACGTTTTAACGATTTTTCTAGTAAGGACAAATTATTCATCTTTGGGTGTCTATATTAGCTCGACTCTACTTAGTAATATTAGCACAACGAGAAGTTACGAGTCATCTTTGTTTTTTCTTTTCTTTTACGCAACGTTATTCGCCTCGAGTTTAGTCGGTTTCTCGCGTCGTTCGAATCCAAATCACCAGATTATTCTCTTATTTTCATTCCTCTTAATCCTTTCGCTACCAAACGGCGTATTAACCCTCGAAGCATGAATCGATAACAATTTCAATTTACTTTTAGTTAGACTGTTTTAACAATTTAATCTGTTTCTATTTATTACGCGTCACTTACAATTTACAATTTTCAAAGTATGTTGTAGCGAAAGGGTTGACGCGTTAACTGCCACCGATAGATAATTAAAACACCGCAGTTGCAATTGTTCCAATTTTCGATCGAAGCGTTCTACCCAGAATTTTACGTAACTTTAGCTGTTTTCTACCAATTGTGAAATATGAAATTTGTACGACAGTTAACGCGTTTAGTTACTCTGTCCATTCCGCGCGCATAACGTTAGTTAGCATAGGACGTTTAAGTTTCGGTCTCGCGTTGTTCCAAGTCGACTCCCACGCAAAACCCACTGAAATTTCTCCGCTCATTCACGATCCATGATACTCGTTCGCGAACAAAATCACAAAACATTAGAGAGAGAAAGGGATCAAGCGAGACACGCGTAATCTGCGAGTGTGTGCATCGTCACGTGCGTCACCGATCAAAAATTATCGGCTAATAAACGAAAAGTATCCAGAGAATAAAACGTAGAGAAAAGTGTTCAGACAAAAACTCGAAGACAACTGAAAATGATTGGAAAAACCGGTGCCGTTTTGGGCTCGCTTTCACGTAATGCTACTATTACTAATCTAAGTCTATACATGTATTGTGTATAATGGATTTAAGGACTCGATATAACATAGGAAAGACTCTCCTTTGTAAATAGTTGAACACTCGTCGAGGCATTAGGGATTTGCGAACATTGCGGATGAATGAAGTTTATCGATAATGTGGTATATAAAAGTCTATATATATACATATAAATACATACAAACACACAGACAGACACACAATGCGTTACGCGTATCCCGGCTGCATTTAATTTTTACTTTCGAAATGTCGGATATCGCCGTGAACGAAGATGGCCGAGCGCGAAACAATTCTGTCACGGCAGCTCGAACGAAGATACTTTCTCGTTTTGTCGTATATATTATACGTATGTGCGAAACGAACGGGAACAAACGGTCGGTCGATCGATTTCGAGTGAACACGATGTTCTTCAAAGTCGATACACTTTTTAGCACACGGAGACCGTTCAACGACGTTTTTCATTTTAACGAGCGTTGTTTTTTTGTATAGTAGCCGGCTGTTACCCTGCGAATATTCTATATTGTACATGTTTATACGTTCCCTGTTATGTTTGTTGTATATTTCTAAAAAATAGGTCTGTATAAATGTTTCGATTTTCGTACGAGCGTAAGAAAGACGGGATTTTTAGAGTACTTTTCTGGTTCATCGTTTCGTCACATTTTTATCGGCCAGATAATACTTCTCTTTCTCATCCTTTCTCTTTTACATTCGATGCTAATCTTTTCTATTCATGTTCGTTTCGTTACGAAGTATGACGAACCAACGCGATCATATCAAGTTAGTGGTATCGAGTGAACAGTGCTGAATCGATAGTTTTTCTCTTTTTATTCGTTTCGTTGTGTTTCTTTATTCAAATTCTATCGTCGTGAAATTGTAAAGCGTGTTAAGAATGAATTTATTTTCTTCTCTGGAATCGAGCTTATTACGGTTAATAAAGATGTTTTTTCGCGTCGCACGTGTTCACTCAAAATGTTTCGCGATGTCGAATTTCAATCGTTTCGAGCATCGTCGATCGCGATCATTGGAACACGGGAGAATCTATTTTTTAAAGAGTCACGTTATATACAAGAACAACACGAATTGGAAATTATTCTCGTCGCTTAGATCGGATCTCGACGCGTCGGATTCGTCGATGAATTTTTCAGTATTATTCTGTGCCGCATGAAAGAAAAAAACAAATAAAGAAAAGAAAACGAGGAAGTTCTTAAACGCGATCCGAGCTCCTTATTAGATCAATGAAAATTTCCTAGGAACATTATCGTCTCTGGATTATTTGATTAAGTATTGTATGATAAGTTGCCTTGTAAAAATGTACCGATTTTACCGAAGAAATTAAATGTGTTACTGAAAGAAAACCCAACAATCTCTCTGGAACTGTTTCCATCGACCTTTTTTTTTTCTTAAACGAAAAAGAAAAAGAAAGGTAGCGGGCAATAGCAATTTATCGATTATAAGTAGAGTGTAATTTGTAAGTAACACGAGAAATTATCATTTTTCACCTGTACTTTCTTTGTATAAGACTGACATCGTTTGTATATGCTTAAATATGATGTTGTTAGGGTACGTCGAGGTTTATACACGTAAATTAAATGTGTCTACGATTAATATGTGTTTTAGAATCACAGGAAAAAAGAACCTTATATCATACTGTACATACAACACTTAAGGAGGTCGCATTTTCTAGTTCGAATTAAGCATTTAGAGTTTAAGTCTTTATCTAATAGAATCGTCTTGAGAAGAGTATACATACTTAATAAAAAGAAAACAGCAATTCGTGAACAAGAGGATTCAAAGCTGTCTAAACTGTTTGTTTCCGAACTCCTTGTTTATCATATTTAAAATAAAACAACTGCAAACAATTTTACGATCCATTACATATTCTATCATTTCATTTTTCGAAGATAATCATTTTCATATAATTTCACCTTCGTTTACAAATCTCGAAATCATGCACATAATAATAAATACCGGTTGATGTTACGTTATTATCAGCTGGTAAAGAAGGAACCTTCTATATCACAGTCGATAAAGTACCTTTTATCGATATAGAAGGAAATTACTTTTCCCGTCGAAGGTCACGAATATTACAAAAGTCGAACAATGCATTTGTAAATAATTAATATAACATATTTAAAAAAATATGTCGCCCAAAAAAGGACACTTTACTTGTTACTACTAAAATATTGTTCTTTATTCGAGCGATTCTCAACACTTTAGAGCGTACAATTTTGAACGTTGTAAAAATAAATATCATTCACATATCGCTAGTTACGACTAGAGTTACTTGAAACATGATTCTACAGGTTTCTCTACGCCCACGTATTCTCGTTCAAAAGTCTGCAGCTTAATTTCCCATTAAATTTTTAATCAACTTTCTCGTCGATCGTTTGTTTCTCCATTTGTCGTAATTGAGTAGAAACCAATTCCCATTTCGAAGACCACGGTGGTTTCTCCATTTCCTGCGTGTTTACTTCTTCTATCAAGTTCATCAGCCTGATAAAGAATTCATTGAGTTTCGCTGCTGTCCCTCGTCGCAGCTTTTGAAAGTTTTTATCTGTAACACGACGAACCGATTACTGGAAACGATTAGAATAAAAGCGGGGATCAAATACAATTGAGGTCTTTCATGTTCCACCGTAACACACGTGGTCTGCAATTATTAATAGGGTAAATAGGACATTCGACACGAATCGATATTTGCTCACGATCAACCTTGCCATGTACTTCTTACCGGAGAAGACGTATGTCAATTGTGCAGACAATATCCATATTGTCATTAAATATTCATTACCCATAACGGCAAAATAATCATTCGTTTCACGTTAACGGAATAATTTGTGTGTGTAGGAAAACTCTAACGTTAATCGTTTAGGATAAATGCATAGCTAGAATCTTGCAAAACTATTCGAGTATATGTTTAGAATTTTCGAGGTGTCACCACCTGAATCGTTAAAATTTTTGTTTCATATTTACTGGAAGGATAAAAGGAGTTCCTGAGCCAGATACTTTGCTGCGTGAGGGTAGCCATGAATCTCTTCGTTATCAAACTCTGACTTTCAGCAGTCATGGGTCTCAGCCTACTAACGAATCGTAGAAGATACTCTAACAAGTACTTGTTAGAAGTAGCAAGCTTTTCGAGACATTGTTGAGGCTTGGAGCTCCACACGACGATGTAACTTAGACTGTCAACATCGAGCAAAGGATGTTTCAGTGTTTCCAACCACTCGAACAATAATCCCGATAAGATGTCCAAATCGGTTTCCATTTGTAATCGTTGCCAAGCCGTGGAACGATGATTCAGATCCATCTGAAAATGAACACAAACTATATCAAGATGAATCACTCCAAACTGAGATTAGCACAAAAGGATGAGCAACTCGCACGATACAATTCTTATAAAAACAAATAACTATATCGAACCTGATAATCCTGCAAACGTTTCTTCGTTTTATCAGCCAACAACGCATTGTCTCTGATCAGCGCCTTGATCGCCACATCGGTGCTCACAGTTTCCACGGCGGCATTTTTTGCGGCGGCCTGCAGGTTCATATGAGATTGGATCTCTTTGTAGCAATCGTTGTCCGCGAGATCCTGTCCGTGGATTCCATCTCCGAGAACGTCGTCCACGTAGTTATCATCTAGGCCTATGCAACAAAGTCTTAACTATCGTGTTCTGTAGCGTCACTGTGAGGCGTACCTGGAAAAGTAGAATCACAGGATGGAGTATCAGGGGATGTACAGAACACGTCACTTAATCTTCCAATGTCATCTGAGGTGTCTCTCGAAGACGCCTGACTGCTACTTGCACACGCTTTCGCTGAACCTGAACATAAAATACTTTTGAAACTCTTAATAAATTTTATTAAATAGTCTTAATAACTGTTTGAATGAAATGTAACTCGTGTGTGGAATTTATCTTACTAGAACAGTCGTAGGAATCGGCGAGTGACTCGGCCCAGGAATAAGAATGCTTAATGTTCCCTTTGGTGTCCCGCAGCTTCTCCAAGAAATGAGATATGAACTTGTTCGTGAAAGACGTGCTGGATACCGTGTACGTAATTTCACACGGAGAATTATCGTCCTGACAATCGCACAACTGGAGAATTCGCTCGCATATCGTGAACACGATCTGAAGAATAATTTGGATTTTCTTCCGACGATTCTAAAAAGCTAATTGAAAAGATTAAAGCATGCACGAACCTTTGGGATGTGTTTAAAAGTACGTTGCTCGTATCCATGTAGAATGTTATGCTGTTTTCTTAGGTGAGATTGCAAGCTGCAAGGTTTGCGATCGCCTATGGCGCTACTGAGAGGGAAAACTATCATTTGAGGAAGCACGAAGTGCTCAAACTCTTGTATACAGAGTATCTGCCCTCGCGTTTGAATAGCGGATGGTCGTTTCATTCGAACGAACCTTATGGCGTCGTTTGCTCTAACCCGAAGACTATAAATAAGGTAGCATGCGATCAGGACGCCGGTTCTACCTAGACCTGGAACAAATTATTATGCACAATTGTCTCAATGAGACCAAACTGATTGCAAGCTTCATGGAGTTTATGGTCCTATGATCATAATGTACAATGCAGTGTCTAAAGAAGTTACGGCTACAATAATAACGGTCAATTTCGCTATATAAGTTTATAAAGATATTCATGACTACAATAAAAGTTTAAGCGATGAATTGACAAGGAGGTCTAACCGATATTACTTTAACGAAAATATCACGTTGAAGAATTGAAATATTTATCTCTGTATGATTACAGCCCTATCGATCGCAGCTAATTCGAGAAATAAATTACCTGTTCGTGTTGTAACCGCGAATCGGAAACGGAACTCGTAATCGCGACCGGTCGAGTTCCGGAGTTAGCGAGAGTTATGACGTATCCAACGAATTACCACTCGATATTACCACGGTGCATGTTTCGTGGTTCTCTAACACATATCAGCGGATAGTAATTAAGTTACAGACGAGTCACGCTTGGAATTTCGGATATTCGATTAAATCATGGCTTGACAAAACAGCCGGGAATTCCTCGCCCGTAGAATTCGCTACGTTTCGTGCGTTTTTCGGGGTACACAATTTCGTGACCGGAAGACACGCTAAATCGTTCCGAAATACTTCTGAATCTACTGGGTTCAACGCAGAAAATGGAATAGTTTCGTACACGATAAGGTCACGTGTAGCTCGATTGTCTCCAACTCGTATAGATGCAAAGAAAATATAATTTTCATGATTGCTTTTAAGTATGCATGACTAGCAGTCCTTTATTACGGAATATTTGATCGATCGATTTAATCGAGCACGATTTACTCCGAGGTTTCTGAACCTCGCGATTATATCGAACAACGATTTTCCGTTTCCTCGGGTTTTCAGATAGATTATTCAAAGGCGAAAATATTTATGAAGAGTTACCGTTCGTGGCGTGTACTGTTACGCCCTAATTCCTTATCTACCCTGGTCTATTTTTCGTGCACATAAATCCTGTCGAGGTAGCGAGGTGACTACGTTCATGGTTGGCAAGCACGCTTCCCGTCAATTAGGGAATTAGTCATGGACTCGTGCGAAAGAGGGTGTTAAGTTTCTTGTTGAATTATGGGATTGATGAAAAAACGCAATCAACCCTTCACTTTGTAATAACTCTAATTTGATACGTTATTTCTTTATCGCGCCGCTATTAATTTTTGATGAAAGAGTCGACGCTATAATTTACTGAATTTTGAGAGCTGTCTTTTGTTTCTTCAATTTCCTGCTTCTTTTCTTGATTAATACCTACCTAAGACTTTGCTTAATTTATTCAGATACGATCTTTAGATACCTTTTCGTCTTGTACGTGGTTCGAGTACACCGTACGAAACGTGTAATTTGTCCGGCTGAGTGGAAAGTTCAAGGGGTTGAGTGCATAATGAATGCAAAAATTCAGATGCACCGAGTCTGGTCGTCGCGGTTTTGCAGCACGCAATGCACCAAAACATCGCGACTCGGTCGAACGAGTTTCACACGTTCCTTAGATCGATACATTTAAAGGTTACAAATTGCTGATAGGGAAGGCCGTATGAGGGCTGTTAAGGATCGTATAACTAGTTTTTTAAATTAAAACGGTCATTGACGAATCAAGATAAGCGAAATCGCATCGATGTATCTATCTCGGATAACATCTTCACTGCTACCGATTTAATCGTGCAACGTCATGTAACGTCAATTTAGCAGCTAGATCAGATAGTGGAAGATAAATGGTCGCGAAAAGAGAATCAGTGTAACGGCGAGTAAAAAAAGAATAGAGCCGACGGGTATCGAAGAAGGTCGATTTACCAGCGTGACAATGAATTGCCACTCTTCCTTCCTGTACGGCGAAGGCCACGACCTTGACCATATCCAAAAGTTTGCTCATGGTCGCGTCCCCGTAGTCCTTCAATGCAAAATTGTAATAGTAAACTGAAACAGAATTTTTTAGACCTTGAGAGCCTCTGCTAGTTTCGAGTTTTACGGTTGCTACCAACGATACTTTTGTTTGCTCTGCATGGATACACGATTTTGCTGCATTGCATGTCCCTTCGATCTAACTCGCGGAGTCAAGTATGTTTCCCTTAACATTCCCGTAATCCGAGAAGTAACCCCTTAATTCAGCATACGGGTATCCATGTTTATTTTGTGAACGTACGAAAAATAGACAAAGAACTAGATAAACTATTAAAGAAAAATATAAAACAATTGTCTGATTTAACTTGTATAATTTCTGGTTGACGTTCGGCTACTCACCGTAGTAATTATAATTAGAATTTGTAATCGATTGACAATATTTTTCAAAGTACATGTAAGTGCCTGTTCTACATATATGTGTAATTGAACTTTATCAATATTTGAATACCTACTGCCATTTTTCATGAAGATATTCGGGTCGTAAGTGAAACCGCTTTCCTCGAGGGGGCCGCCGCAGCTCGCATGCTCACCCGGCGTTTGCAGGTTTATTATGGTTTTTATACTCCACCCTTGAAACTGGGCAATTATGTCTTTTTTTATGATTTGTGCGGTGTTTGGCCGTGCCATCGCGAGAACGTCGTCTGTCACCCTAAACGAATTATCGACCCTTACAGTTCCATGATGAAACAATTAGAAATTTTGAAATTGAGTTTCGAACAATTTGAAGGGAAATCGCTCATACTCTATTTTCATCTACAATCAATGTATTTTGTACGCTATATGTGCATAAAATCACGTGACACGATTTAATTTTGTTTATTCGATATATGCTGAATTTATTGTGACCTGACAATGATCGATTTTGTTAGTCAACAGAATGGTTTCAGAGATTGTATAATTTAACGAGAACGATAAAATGGATTTATATCGCGTTTCCCATTTTTCTTTTTATAAATCCTCGTTCTATTTTGTATATAAGCAACGGAGGAAATTTACGGTTTTTCATAATCTTTTATTGCACGGTCTTACCAATGCGAAAAGATGTTCTGTATTGCCATGTGCACAGGCCGCCAGGCTCTTGGATTTTCATATTTGCACCTAGAACCACCGCAAAAAATCGCGCACTGAATTGCTTGAGGGGTGAATTTTCGCAAATTCTCAGAAAATTTATTATAGCCCGCCTGGACCTCGCAGAGATCCACTTGCCCCGCTTGAAAACCAGCCGGTACTAGCGAACTCACGTCCATTCTGCAAGTTAATTTTGTACATCCATATTTGCTTGTTTTAAATATTTGCTTTATTCAAAAGAAGTTACGTTTTCACGCGAGAATCATTCCATATCAAAAATGAATTAACATCTCTATTTCTTCAATCGTTAGCGCACTTACATGTTCAAAAATAATCACACCCCTTCCATCCATCTCATTGCCGTAAAAATTGAAATTCTCTTTAAATTTGCCCCTCTTTGTCCGCTTGGAACGCGTCCGACAGTTCCAGCAGAATTTTTTTCCAACGATTCTCTTTACGTAAGAAAGCACGACAAAGCGTAACAATTAATGCAAAAAAGCACTTTACGTACTGGGGTAAGCGCATAGCGACTGGTAGTTCTCCTAACATAACGCTACTTTATCTATCCTTCTATCATTCTGCTTGCGCCTGCGTCGATTCTACGGACTATAAAATCGCTTTTGTTTCATTTCAACCCCACTGTACTCCTTACATCCCCTAAATTCGAATATGACGAAATGCGATGTAAAAATTGTACGTATACATGTGTTTATGCATGTATTATACAGAGGAACAACTATTTAATTAAAATTTACATTATAAGATTTAAACAATAATTAATTATAATAATAATTAGAAACAATTTTATAAACTCTACCAAATAATATCAAATTATAAATATTTGAAAATATTTAGATCTGATTTTTATTTTTTAAGACATATGAATTTAATGATTTGAAGAGTAGATTCTGTTTGAATGGAAAATACGGTAAAGATGAATGAGCGTAAATCTGAATGAGAAGCACGTGATTTTGATAGTTTTGGCGGGAAACACCACGTGTGCGTAACCTAAAATATTACGTATATTTATAACCTCAATCCTTATCTTGTCAAACGCGCAAAATGTTCAAAGAGTATTTATTGAGGAACCATCGACAGGAATTGGAAGAAATTTTGGACAACTTGGATGTCAGCGGTTTCTATTCGATTTACATAAAGTAAGTACTGCGTAATCTGACAGTGAGTCACGACAGTGAATCATGATTGTGTTACAGCTTTGTATCTTTATTTGAGTTTGATACGGACATAGCGCAGAAAATTTTACAATATCCCAGATACTACTTACCGCTTTGCGATGAATCAGCGATGGAAGCTCAGCAGGAAATAGCAAAATCAGAACAAGTTGTCAAAAAAAAAGTAATGTTAGCTTTGTACAACATTTAAACTTTGCATTCTAGTCTACTTTTTAGTCTTTATTTTGAAAAAATGATGTAGGTACGCATCAGAGTTACTGCTGTACCACTGACAGTAGACCAAGGACAAATTGGGCAACTTGTTTCAACAAGTGGTATCATAGTAAGAATGTCCCAACCTACAGTATTGAAGCTTGTTCAAAGATACATATGCAAGAAGTGCAAGCACATTAATCATATTAAAGTTAGTTAAACATACAAATCTCACATTATTGCATGCAATAGTAATTCATACATTGGTTTTAGTATGAATGGGAGAGACAAGATTTTGGAGAAGCTTCAGAGTGTGAAGCATGCAATGCTACAAAGTTAAAAGCTATTAATGATTTTGATGTAGAAGATTCCTCTGATTGTCAAGAAATAAGAGTACAAGTACATTGTCATTTCTCTTTTTAATTATTGTCTGGTTGGTTAATATTATTAAATGTTAAACACTATTAACTAGGAAAAAAGTAGAACTGATACTAGATACTTGATTGAAGAACTGAAGATCACTCTGTTGGATGATTTGGTTGATAAATGTAGACCAGGAGATTATGTTGAAATTAGGTGAATAGTATTTAACAATATATAGCTTAAAACATGAAACTACAGTTTACTAATTGATGCACTGCACTTCACACACATAGTGGTATAATTGTAAGAATATGGGGACCTTTAGAAGTTGGAGAACGTTTAGAAGCAACAACCATGATGTTAGCAAACAGTGTAACAGTACGACGTAAAATATCTGATACATCCTCCACCCAGGAGATGAAAGACATTTTCAGAAGTTACTGGGACAACTACAGTGACAATCCTCTGCTCGGTAGAGACAATATTCTTGCATCAATTTGTCCTCAGGTATTACATTACTATCTCGTAGTCAATTAGTGACATTACAATATTTAATCATCGATCGTTTAAAGCTCTACGGAATGTACATCCCAAAGTTATCTCTAGCCGTGGTCCTAGCTGGTGGTGTGACGAAATACAACGAAAACGGTAACTGGCCGTTCACACTTTTATTACGTTCTTTTTTTCTGTAAAATACAATCATTAAATCAATTAAGGAACCCGTGTACGCGGAGAGCCACATCTTCTGTTAGTCGGCGATCCAGGAACCGGCAAATCCAAATTGCTTCGCGCCGCAACTCGTTTGGCTGTAAGATCTGTTTTTACGACCGGCGTTGGGTCAACTGCAGCAGGTCTTACAGCGACTGCTGTCAGGGTTAGTTGGCGTTATTATGCATCGTCTTCCGTCCGTAATAATCAACGTTCAACTCGTTTTATCGTGTAATAATACAGGACTCGGACGGCTGGCACTTAGAAGCTGGAGCATTGGTATTAGCTGATGGTGGAATTTGCTGCGTGGATGAATTCACAACGATGAGTTCACACGACAGAACAAGCGTGCACGAGGCCATGGAACAACAAACAATATCCATCGCCAAAGCTGGATTAGTCAGCACGTTAAATTCGAGATGTTCGGTGATCGCAGCCATCAATCCGTCTGGTGGTCAATTTGCAGAAAACGAGGACGAAGAATGGGAAACGAGCTTGGGCGATCCTCTTCTGTCTCGTTTCGACTTGATATTGCTTCTGAAGGATAACAGAAATCCAGAGTGGGATAAATTAACGTCAGATCACATTCTAAAAGCTGCTTGCAAAGCTAACGAAAGCCTGGTGCAAATGTAAACGGACTGTGTACATGACTGTTAGCTCCTTTTGGTTAAACTGTTAATTATTGATATTTAATTTAATAGAGATTCGAAGAACCATTTCGAACTTTTGAAGACGGAGGGATTATGGAAGGAGGATAGTTTGAGGGAATACTTGGCACACATTCATTCGCTGCAACCAGTACTGACGAAAGAAGCAGAAATGGTACTCAGAGCAACTTATCTTTATCATAGATCACACCCGGATAGAAGGGAAGAAAGAACGACTGTGCGACTTTTAGACAGTCTGATAAGGTAAAATCGGACTTTTGGAAAATTGGATCTGTCATACTTAATGATTGCTGTCTTTAGGCTAGCTGAGGGACATGCACGATTAATGTACAGGTCGCAAATCGAGATTATGGATGCCATTTTTGTTGCAAAATTGGTTGGAACAGAATCAAACGCGAAGGTAGATCCTGGTTGTTCGTTCCCAACGGATCCGATTGCCACTTATCGATTAGAAGGTATATCTTTCTGCGCATTTAAATTAACGGAATAACACGATAGTCTTATCTAATCAAGGAAAATTCCAGGTAAAAAATTACTCAGAACTATTGGTTTGCAAAATTTAGAAAGTTTATTGTAAGCATTGTCGAGGTGCCACTACGGAAGAAAGTATTATTACGAGTAAACTAAATATTTATTTGTCAATATTTGTTGCCTGTTCACTGCTTACATAAGTACAAATGTACCAGCGTGTATTTATAAAATTTAAACATTTTTTTATATTTTTATACAAAACGAATTATTTTATTGTTCACCGCTATGTAATGAAGGTGGTGTGTAATTATTGCAGTCAATTTAAACAGTGTTACAAGTCTAAAAATATATTTAAAGGGTATAATAATGTACGATCAAGTCTCAACAAATAACAAGGTACCTTTTTCTCGATACTCCTGAACATTTTTTTACTCAATACAAATTTTCCACTTCATTCGGACATGTTTCGATACATCCAATAAAGTAACAGCAACGATGCAACCCGATGCAGGTTACAAATAATATATCAATAATTAATAAATAATTAAACGTATGTAAAAGTAATTTGTTTTCAAATTATTTCCTATACGTATGTTTATAGATTAAACTTTACAAAGTGTTATAATATTTTATGGTGCTAGATAACAAGTACTTAATCAGGAAAGGCCATATATTACACGTTGCAAGGAATGTATAGGACATTATGGGATAGATAAAAAGATGTATCATTTCCGTATAATTCGTAATTAAGTTAACGCTTATCGACACAACAAATGAAAATTAAACTCTATGAACGGATGGATATAACCGTGTTATAAAATTATTTTGATTATCAGCAAACCAAACACATTTTTCTTCGTATAAATCGCGCATGATTACAACATCATGAATAAAAGTGCCACTTTAAAATAGAAAAGCTAGCAAATATATTGATGTATAATAGAAGCAATAATACAAAAGTTACTGATATGATTATTAGCTCACTCCTACTACATGATAAATTATTTCGTGACTTCTTTTTTTGTTAAAAAGAAAAAAAAACGAAACATAACTTACAAAGTATACGTTAAGTAATACATAGGCGCGCGCACTCACACACAAACATCGTGTGTTATTCAAATTTAAAATACTGTTGCGAATAGGTGATAATTTATAAACATTTGTTAAAAATATCCAGTAACATTCTTTGCCAATAAATTAGACTATTAATTTCAACAAAACATGCATGATATATGTTCAAACACAAATAATTGAAAATATGATTCTAACGTTAACGTTATAATTTTCCAATTGAAATATAGACTTCTGTAAGACGGCGTAATCCTGTTTCGATACAGAAGCACCGAAACTAAGATGATCTATTGATTTATTGAGAAGTAAAACATCAGAGTACCTGAAGAATAAATCTTGGAGTGTGGCAAAATAACGCTTAGTAGCGTGGTTGATTAGCAGCGTTAGCCATTTGGGTGCGAACAGCAGTGGCAGCAACGTTACTCGCAGCGTTTTGCACGTGTTCATTGCGCAAAAATGTTGTAGCGAACTCTTGTTGTGCTTTCGAAACGCTCGCTTCCGACGAACGATAAATACGATGAATCTACGGGACATAATTTTCTTCAACATCTCATTATGACGAAAAAAAATCTCGTAAAATTTTTTACTCTACCTTGGTCAACAATAGAAGATCACCACACGCAGCAAGAACAAAACATAGGGCGATAAAGAGCAACAAAAGACCAACAAAGATTCCCTTGGCGGACTTGTCGAACATCAACATGGCTGTTATTATACCGCTGGAATTACAACATATAATTAATTCACGGTTGTGACGATCATGGCATTAAAAAAATGAAGAAATTACCAAGTTCCTGAGCCAGGAATGCCTATAGCCTGAATTGCTGTTACAATTAGTTGAAAGAAAAAGACAAAGAAAAACACCATGAAGTTGATAGAGCTATCATTCCTGAAATAAATGGATCATGTAACAATATTCTGGAAGCTGTTGATGTAATTCAAGATACATACTTGAAAGCCTTGTATGCCGGTCTAAACCAACACAAAAACGAGAAGGGTGTAAAAAGTATAAGATACAATATTCCAAGACCAAATGTTGAAAACCTTTCATTACATAAAATCAGCACAAATCCACCAAAAACATTTAGAACCAAAACACAGCCATGAACTGCAATTCAAGAGAAATATTTAATAACTTGATGATTGCTGTTCAATTAACACCTAATAGTAATCCATTAAACTTACACATCCATAGATGATACAATTGCCTGACAACTTTCTGAAAGTCTGTACTTATTTCCACATCTATATCTTGATCGAAACAAGGTTGGAAGCAACACTTATCAGGTAAAGGTGGCCAGTTGTGACGCTTTGCTTCAATACAAAAAATTTTGATTGATAAGTAGAAATAAGAAATGAACATTAGCTGAATTTGTGTTATATGGACTCACGATAATATGGCGTATTTCTCATATCCTCTTCTGTTCTTCCTTTCCATTCTGGCTCCGATCTTTGCTATAATTATGCAATACTTTAAATAGAACAGTACAAAATATAAAGATGACTCATTATAAAACATATTTCATATACATTTACATCCGAAGTAAGAGACAATGTGCTTCCAAGTGCAGCATTCACCGTTTGCTGAGGAGTACGGGCATAGTTAGGTGGTGGAGCTTCTTGACTCGTAGGTTGAAGCGTAGCTGGTTGCTGTGTTGCTCCAACTCCCCCATAAATAGGAGGGTTTGAAGCACCTCTGACTTGTGCTGTTCCTTGTGTTCCCTGATCCGCAAATGGATTATAATCTTCCAAACCTCTGTTGGCCGGTGTGGAGGATACAGCTCTCCTTATTGCAGGATCCTATATTTAAGAATATTTCTAACTGTCATCTATTTGCCTTACATGACAATTAACCATGGAAAAAGAAGATCTAAATATGGTTATGTCCAATGAATGTATATTTATAGAGAATGTCTATATATAGAATTAACAGCCATCTAAGCATTTTCTTTATTTGATACATATACACAAAATTACACGCAATTGAAAGTAATAATTTCTAACGCATCAAATCATCATCCATTCTAACATCAGTAAAGATACAAGTACAAAGATCAATATGAAAAACAGTACGATGATTATTTAATTGATACGTCTATTTACGTCAGGACGTAAAGTGAATATTCACTTATGATCTTCAATGAAATCTTATAATTCAATTACACGAGTTTATTTCCATTTGACAGCTTTACATGCAATATTGAACGGAGTAATGCGCGTTTGACTTTAGCCGCTCCTAAATTACTTACCGCAAATGGATCATTGATGCTTGGTTCCGCGAAGGGATTCTCGTCGAAACCAGACATTTTAATCGTCGTTCACCAAATCACAAACCGATGTATCGTTGAAAATTAATAAGACCTTAACACACTCAAAATAATCTTATCTAAAGGTGCCTATACGTGATGATCCATTGCGCTGCGGTTACCTACGGTATCGCCGGGATTTTAGCCTCACAACTAGAAGTCTGCAAAACAACTAATGCCACGTCTATCAGTGTTGCAATAAGCGCGCTTCACAAGTCGTAACCAAGTAATGCATGTTGCATTACTCATGTTAAATCCCGTTTTCAAGTACGAACAACCGTAGACTCATATGTATCATAGACATTACACTGCAGTTAGAACAGAGCTCAGTGAGTAGATTTGTTAACGCCAGAGGTCGTCACCTCATCGATGAGGTCGGTAAGTAAGGTTCCTGAAGAACCAATAAAATTTAAAAAGAAAAATATAAATATGGTATGTACATGAGGTATTTTGGGACTCTCAAACTGATTTTATTTTGCATATGTATGAACCTTAGTGTTTCTTGAAAAATCTTACTTATCGACTGTAACGAAACAGCATAAAGAATCCCCCTGGGTGAAAAGTAGTAAAGTGCAATCCGTATTTATTTCTTTCTGTGACAAAGCTGATGTGACTTAGAACTTTTGCCATATATCAAATGACAATTGTTGTTCAATTCCTAGCTAAAACAATTCTTATATACTTTAAAATTGAAAAGAATTTTTAATTTTTGTTCAAAGCTTGTTTAACAAGCATTCGATATTCATATTAAATTTCGTGTTTAATAGTACATGTATGAAACATTGATTGTGAAACTTAAATGACAATATTAATGCACACAACTATTTGTTTAATTTCCCATATTAATTTGATGAACGGTATTCTCGGTTACTTGTTATAAAACCGCATTGGCAGTTCACCCGTTAATCGATTCTCGCGTCTTTCTATCCATCTCGTGATTCTGTTCTCGTGGTTTAGCGCGAAACTCTGCGGTAAAACTTAACCCGCAACAGAGGAAACCTTTCCAGTATCTACTTTTTATCGTGCAACCACGATGTTCCATCGATTTTACATTCGAACCAAATAGGTGGCAGTATGAGTAAAGATAAAAATTAGTTTATGCGAGGAATTCGGGTGTTAACCGAGGACACACATACAAACATTCTTTCTACATTATACCGATGTTAAGATAGCGGAACGCAAGTTAAACGCAGAACAGTTATATTGGTTTTACTACGTCGTTAGTAACGATTCCCTTTACGAAGTCTTCGTAAGTTATAAATTACTCCTCGGATCCACCGTGGTCTGGGGAGAAACAATGTAATTAGCGTAGCCGTGCTCGCACCAAATATACGTTCGCACACGTTTCCGCGTATAATTGCCTGGTGCACGATCAAAACTTGCCTCCGTCCATTTCTACAACCTAAAATAGAATAACTCTTCGAAGCAACCCCTCAACTTGTATTCATCTTCGCTGTTGTGAATCTCGTAATTCGTTGTTCTAGGATCTCGACTCTAATTACTGTTTGCACTTCGCGTCGTGAGATAATTGTAATTGCCGTTTGCGTTTCACATCGTTGAAAACTGCTACAATATTGCCTGGAAATTCGCTTCCTCGATATTTTCGGGATACAGAGGAAAAAATGGGGTACAATTTCAACCTAGCTCGGTTCCATTTAGAACGTCGATTTCTCCACGTGGAAATGTCGCAAGACGTAAAATTTCTCTTGTCAATAAGTTGGACAAGTGTACATTGTCGGCGTTGGGATCGTGTGTGTACAGCCGCATTTCCTGTGGGTGCAATTCCACGTAAGTTGTCAACGGCAGGCAGCCATGGAACGTTCCCAGGTAAAATTACTGATGTTGTATAGTCGTCGAGGCGATAAGACGCTATAAGAATGCGTAGTTTTACGATTTAATTTATGCGCTCGTAAATGTGCTTTAAAGAACTAGTCAAGAATTACCATGTAATATTCGTCGTATCTATACATGTGTCTATGATCATTTTCTTTATTAAAACAATCGAAGTTTCCACAAGAAATTTATTTTGTCGTACAAGAATACATTACGTCTGTATATTTATGCATCGAATTCAATTTGGACTCGGATCTCCTAGAGCATTTATAAAATTAAATTTTTAGCGAGACTCGCGACAGTCTAAGTTATACACACGATGTTTGAATTTCCACAGTTTGCTCGAGATTAAAGCGGAAACACTCTATATCCCGTTGCTTCTTAAACGAGTATGTACGTATTACTATTTGAACGGGACGAAGGTGCGCACGGAACGAGCTGCTAATTATTCAGAGACCTCTTAAATTCGAGCTAACCAAAACATGTAAATTCATAATTTTGTATACAACTTCGAGAATAAACGTGCCGGCACGATTTCGTTACACAGAATAATTCAAAGGAACCTCCGTACTAGAGTACAGTCTTTAACTAGCACGGGAATCTCGTTTAATTTATTTGAAAAGCGTTCTGTTTGGTTAGTTTCGTTTAATCGATAAACGATATAAGATCACGGTGCTCCTTAAAAAGAAGCTATTTGAACAAAGAGAAGTTACCGAGAAGTAAAAAGGTAGTCAAACATTCTCAACTCCTTCATAAGCATTAAACGCAACCATGCTCGAGAAGCTGCTGGTCTCTGACTTTTAAAGTCACCGAAGCTCGTTCTCTTTTTCAATTTCACGAACACGGTGTAGAGCAATAAAGGTTTTCCAGGAAGAACGGAAAGCACAGGGAAGAAGGGTGATCGTTTAAGAGGAACATCCGAGAAAAAGAGGGCAATGAAGAGGAAAAGGGGTCGGGGCCACCTTGTCCGGCAAGGATTCCACGTCGTCCTACGAGGTCCTGCGCGCGGTTTAATAATACATCCTAGGAGACCGTTAATCACCGCGTGAAATATAATTTAATACCTGAGCGAGCGAGGTCCGACCACTAAAAATGACGAACGGCCAGGAAACACGCGGCAAGCTCAGCCTGCAAGCACCTCATCCTCTTACTGCGTACCGCTATAGTCACCCCATGCTGTTGGACGTGCAATAACGATAAAGGCTTGGGGTATTCCTAGGCGATCCTTTTGATGTGGTCTCTCCTGAAAGGCTCGCGAACCACTTGTATATTACATTTGTCCACTGTACTCGATTCGAAGAATTTCTACGAAAGCAAGTGAAATTTTTAAATCTGTGAAACGAAGTATAAAATATACTTTACCAAAGTGCATGAACCTAGATTTAAGGAATAAAGAGAACTTTACTTAAATTTTACATCATTGAGCGATGTAGCGTATACACGAAGGGCAGCCATCCTTTTCTACTCAGTCCTTCTGTCCTTTCTCTTTCCGTTTGTTCTTTCACGCTTTTCGCCGCGAGCTTCACACGAATCGACTGTGTGTCGATTTCGAGGATCCATGAAATTCGTTCTTTTTTATCCGTGACTGTGGGATCGGCGCGTTTCGCCCTGTATCTCTTTTTTCCAGGTCTCTCTAGCCTGTCTAGCCATTGGTACCCTTTGAAATCGGGTTAATGTCCACGACAATGGCCACGATTTTGTCCGATGAAAGCGTCCAGGAGCGATCTTCCTTCCGGCATCGGAGCACGCTTTTTATCGACACCAACCGACCACGCTGCGAGCCAGAAATTGCGAAGGGGTGGTTCTAGTGTAATGGAGTTTCACCTGCAAGGTGGCTCGCCCCTTCTCGGAACTCGTTACGATTCTTTTAACGAGGACTTTTTACAGACTGTGCTCGACCATTTGTTATGGTACACCGGAGAAGACTATCGTTCTATTCGTTGAAAATTAGAAAACCTCCAACCTTCTTTACGACTTGTTTTTTCGTTTGAAATTTTATTATCTCGTGGTCATAATTACATCGTGAACATAGTTACACTTGTTTTTCGCACTATACGTTTAGGTAAATTGTCACGAAAGGTAAAAATACATCGCTGTAATTTAGTTCGGTTATATCGTAAAGACAAAGTTTTAATTTTTTCGTTTGGTTTGAACCGAGATTCAACGGAAGGAGGGTTGGCTAACGAAGAAAAACTGGATAATATGCTTGACATTACAATTGCAGGTCGCGTTTGAACCGTTATTATCCCGGCATTTCACCTCGAACACAATTAACCGAGAGAGGGTGGCATGCTATGCGAGTTATATGGACTATCGTAATAGCTATAAATAAAGCTATTAGGGTGGCCATGAACGAACCACTCGATCGTGTAGACGACTCTCTTTTCTGAGTCTCCTGCTTCCTTAGTTCTATATAAATTGCCGAAATATCCACACGAGCTGCCGAACGTGAGCCATGGCGCAGCAGGGGCTCCTTAGACAGGGGTAATAAAGATATAAAGACGTCGTTTTATAGGCTCCCATCGTAGTTGGCTCGAAAAACAGTCGGTAAATGCTATTAGCGATGGTTACAAGTAGTGCGCGAGTAAAAATAATGGTCTTTTTAAAGGCGCACTCGAGTCTTCTCAAACGACAAGCTTTTTATTCTATTTGATCTTGCCTAATTATACGATCAATTCTCCGGAATTTCTGGTTATTATTGACCGTTTCTACAAATACACATTTCGAAGCTACGATTCCTATTTAGGGCAACTCTCCGTGGCTCGATGTTTTCGTTGAACAACATGGAACCCATCCATAAATCACTTTTCGATCTCGTAACAACGATATTATCCCGACTGATCTCGCCTTTTACGAAGAACGCTCGTTTCGATCCCTCTCCCTTTAAGCGTTTCACGATAATTTATGAGAACAAGCCGTTGTTAGCGCGATACTTATTCAAAGAGGATGATTTATGCGTGTTTAGACTTATGTGGAATTAGCTAGATATTTATTTGTTTGGTATTCACCGATCATTATTCGTTCTAAAATTAATCAACGCGCTAATGGGGACCACGAGAGAGTACCTAAAAATTTATCGAATACCATTATATTGATAATACGTTGACAATTTAAATTTACCAATTGTATCGACTGATCGATCACGATCAGAGGAAGGTTACTAACGTCGATGAAAGTTATTCAAAGCAGGAACATCAAGAACGATCGTGTCTTCATTGATATTTATGGCGCAGGAAAGTATGCGGCTAGCACTGATGACCACACGATATAACGTCATCCGTTGGAGATGTAAATTCAAGTAGAAGAACTTCATTTCCATTCATCTTCCTTTGTCTCTGTCACGCTGCGCACCGATTCGGGCGACGCTGAAAAAT